AAACCTGCTGCTGTGCATAATGGAAACTGTTTTCTGACAACTTGAGTTGCTTTGTTTTTACCAACAAAAAATTGTACTGTAACTGCAGGTTTTACTGGGGTCCATGCCCCATGGTCAATTCCTTGGGTATAGAGATGTCTGTCCTCATGTGTAGCTTTTTTACCACAACCTGAGTGATCAAACTGTACCCAAACTATGCAAGAATGTTTGCTTTGCTGATTTAGTTGCACAACTTTGATGATATTCCCAGCACCATCCAGTTGTCATGCCATCTTCAGTTCACATATTCATTACAAGCTGAATTCACCTTCAGCAAGGTAGAGGTTCAATACCAACTGCTCAGTTTTTCTTGGGTCATTTGAAATTTGTCTTAATATTTTTCCTCAAACCTCAGAAGAGTTAGTTCCAATAACACTGTCTATAGTGCTGTGATTCTGTATTTGTTTCCTATAGCTACATTATGTACTTCATCATTAAATTAATTAATCTACTTTAGTTTGCATTTTGTTTATATAGGTGGGGTGCATCAAATGGGTTGTTTGTGTCTTCTTGCACAACTACTTCTTTCAGTTTTACACTTGCTGACGTGTGTTTACCTTCACATAACCTAGTTAAGAAGTTCTGCCAACAACTTGCTATCACTTTGCCACATGATCTCAGTGAGCTCAAACAATGAAAAGTGCTATTGCCATAGAATTGGAGCAAGAACTGTGTTAACTGAATTTTGGAGGTCTTTAAATACGTAGTCATCCATTACTGGTTCCAACTGGAACAAATCATTAATGATGATAAAAGAAACACCACCAAAATCATCTTTGCAACTCTTACTATCTTTAAACCTATTGTTAAGCTGTATGACAAACATATTCAAATTTCATCCAAGAATATCAATTTGACAGCTCCAAAGTGAGTTCTCAAGGTGTTTTGTCTACTTGAGTCTAGATGTTTGTAATTTTTCAATGACACATGGACAGCAATAGCAAATACACAGTGAATATAAGTGTTAGCTTTAATGTTTTAAGCTGCTGAGGCTGAGCTTTCCCAGTTGAACCTAATAGTAAGACCTTAATTTGATGAATATCATTGTCAGCTCTTGTGTTAAAATACTTAAGGTCTGCCTGATACAAGGCTTTTAGAAGATCATCATGATTGGCCCGCACCTGCTCCACTTAACTCAGAAAGCAATAAAAAGGTGTTTCTGTGGTTTCAATCTGGTCCAAAATGTGATAAAAATAGTTCTTTTTCCTTTTTATTTAAAATCTGAACCATTCCACGATAATCATCATCTAGCTGGTAATTCACTTAATATAGGTGGCTCATAATGTGGCATGATGTGGAAGGAATTTTGAAATCATCTGAAAGGTCAATGTTCATTGAAATTAGAATGTAAATCTTCATTACCAAGAGCTTCCTTCATCTTGCAGTTCAACACTTTGTGCATTTGGTGCTACTAAGTCATACTGGGAATCACTAACTTCTGTGTGATGTAAATGCTGTTCAATGTCATTCATATCTTCACTGCAGACAGCATACTGATGCATTTGTTTGTCTAATTTTTCTTTCAAAAGAAGGAAATGCTCTTGATATGAAGAGCTACTGCCTATTAAATCAGCTTTTTCATTTTGCCAACAAGTAAAAAGCATTATATTATAAGTTCACGAAAATGTTCTTCAGAGTAGGATTTCACATTGAACCAAACAGTCTTCTAATTATTCTAGGCTTTACATGCTGCTTTGGTTTTGCAATTTTTGCATTGTGCTTGCCTAAAGTCTGAGGTCTAAATCAGCAAATTCATCATCATCATCATCTTTCCCTGTTTCAAGTAGGAGGTTATCTGTGTTCAAACTTTTAGATTTTTTCCCAAATGAGTTTTTGGGTGAATTATACAATGCAGCCCAATCAGCCAGTAACATTCTCTATGCTTGTTGGTCTTTCTATGTACCTCTTAATAAGACCAGTAGAGTGAATGTCTTCAGAGTCATCCTCCACTTCTTCTATTTCATTCATTGGTTTCAAAAGCTGAGCTTTCTCTTCAGGGGGTGAAGTGGTGATAAAAATCACCTCTCTAGAGCTTTTCCTTGTTGGTAGCTGATGAACTATATGTAAACTGCCTCTTGAGCACTGATCTCCCCACTATTTAAAAATTTATTCTCAATATCTCTCTCTAATTATGCTGTAATTTCCTCTCTTTGCCCCCTCACATGCTTGTTGTAAAAAGTTGACTCATTCCCTTCTGGGCTTTTGAAATGTATGATACA